AAAAAAAAAAAATCTACATGGTACGGCTTTATTTCACCAGAGAAGAGGGAGAGTAGACAATTAGCAAGTTGGTATTTGTCCTTCCTATGAGGCAAAAGTAGCTACTGATTCCTTGTTTCTATAAAAAATATACATATTTCCTGTAAAATGCTTTGAGTCTAGGAAAGGAAGATGCTAAAACCTTCCCTGCCAATTAGAGCTAACTCTATATACCTTGCCTGTAAATCGTCATAAGGCAAAGAAAAAAAAAAAAAAAAAAACCTACCCTTCCCTCTCTCCATCCCCTTACAAAATCTCCAAAGTATATATCCAATCCACCGAGGCCCGATCGAATGTTGTCACCTTTCGGGCGGCGCTATTTTACTCGCCCCCAATGCCTGCAGATCGACCCCGAACGGACAGCACCCACTGCTTGGTCTGGTGTGCCGCCATCATCTGCGCCATCATAACCTTTGGGGTCATCGTAGCTGGCGTCGTCACCTTCATCGGGTACCAGGTCATCCACCCGAAAGTTCCCTACGTTAGTGTGGTAGATGCGCACCTCGACACAATACGGATCGATTACGCTGGTGTACTAGAGGTTCAAGCCACGATCAACATGCGCGCGGAGAACGGGAACCGGAAGGCTCGCGCTAGATTCTCCCACTTGTTGTTCCATTTCAGCTTGGATGGAGTGGTTTTAGCGCACCTGGTGGGAGGGCCTTTCGACGTAAGAAAGAACAGTTTCGTGGATTTTCATTACGTAGCTCAGTCGACACCGGTGGCGTTGGGCCCCGAACAGGAAGAGCTGGTGGATACGTCATTGAAGCGGAATCTAATTGCTTTCAATTTGAAGGGAGGCGCAAAAGCTCGATGGAAAGCAGGGCCTCTTGGGTCCATTAAGTTCACGTCTAACTTGGACTGTCTGCTTCGTTTTCATCCTCTCAATGGAACTTACATTCCATCACGTTGCACCTCCAGTGCGTCATAGTATTCATTGGTACATGCTGTCCCAGGCCTTTTTTCCCATTGAAGAAAAGCTTAAAAATGTTAGATTTTGTGCATATTGAAGTTCTTTGACAAATGCAATTTAATTTCTTTTGTAATTTCTAGCTAGCTTAAAGTGAAATGTGAGATTTAATTCTCGAGAAAAGGATTATCTTGTAATATAAAAAATTTATATAATTACAATGTAACTTATTATAATTTTAAAATGAGTAATAAAAGAAATAGTATTTTTTTAAAACATAATAGACTATTTTATTGACATGTATTAAAAAAAATACAAATCCAATTTATAAGGTAAA